TTGTTTACAATTTTAGATATCTTTGTTTTCTTATTTTGTTTCTAAAGACAATACCTAGCCTTCTCCTCTTTATGTAAAACGATGAGTAAGTAATTGCAAGGCCTAGGCTATACTTATACAGTAATTTATTGATCGTTTTTTTGAGTTTTATAGAAATAATTTTTATGCTAGGCCCTAGCCTACAGGCGGATAAAATATTCTGACAGCCGGCAATTTTTACCGGTTACCGGCTATTAACAACAACCCTGCATTAAAGGTGCTAGTAAAAAGACAACCGTACATGAATAAATGCTGTTTTACTGTAGGTTCTTAGTCTTATGAGTAAAGCAGCTAAGGTGCTAACATTGCAACTTAATGCAGTTTTAGGGTGGACGGAATCTAGGCTAAACCGTGTAAACTGCTATACAGTGATCTTGAAAAACATACAGCTGGCATCATCATCATTGACATCCTAATACATCATCATCAGTTCTCATCGTGTTTCTCATCATCAATGTTATAGAGAAATGAAAGCAATTTAAAGAGTGAATCTTACAGAAAGTATTTAGTTCTTCAAGGATACATACTTATCTCTGCCTTCCACCCCTTCAACAAGAAAGATGGGCTTCGCGATGCTACTATAGGCCTAGCCACCCATTAACAAGAAAGAGTTTAGAGATGAGCTTCAATTTTCAAGATGCTAGGCCTAGCTAGTGTCAACAATTAGACACCTAATTCAATATATCCAATGTATGCACAAAGTGCAGTACAGTAATTTAGACAACTAGGCAAATTACACAACTGTCGTGGCTAAAGCATGACTTTAAGCCTTCGCCAAAATGGCTAAAGCAGTTGGATATTTTTTCGCCACTCCACAATAGTTTTCGCCTATGGCGACTTGGCGATCGGTTAGCGCGAGCCCAGCAACAGGTGGGCAAAGTGCGACCTATGGGTCACATGCGAACCCGACGGTGACTTGAAGGCCCGTGAAAATAAATAAATTAAGTGAGATAGAGGTGGGCGTCAAGATGCTACTGTAGGCCACCCCTTAACAAGAAAGAGTTACAGTAGAGATGAGCTTTGAGATGCTAGGCCTAGTCACCGTCAACAATCATACAAAAAGTTCAATGCATATAAAGTGGCTATCACTAGTTAAAGCCAACGAAAGTAATATGCCACAGGTGGGCAAAGTGGGCCCCTTGGACTACATGCAGCACAATGGTGATTTTACTAAAACCCGCAAAAATAAATTAATTAAAAATCCTACATGTGTGGACCGCCAACCACCTTTGGTTAGAAAACCCCTTGTTGTTTACAGCTAAACATCAAACATCTGTGCATCAGTGTATGGAGATTTTTGGAAGCTCACTGGAAACATCAAAGTTTGGGTGCAGTTCTCCAACACATTTTTAAGCCCACCCCTGGTATACTAATCTCTTTACTCCACTAGTCTACATTTATAAACTTACCAGATGCCATTGCCGTACATAGCCCGGATCATGGAATTCTCTTTTAGTTCTTTTACGTATAGCTTGTTGTATAAACCATAATATCTCTTCGTGTTCCTGTAACGCTTGCTCAACTTCAGCACGTATAACGGCCGTCTGCTCAGAATCAAGAGAACGATTCAAAGACTGGTTATAGTTTTCGTGCACAAATAAATAATGTTCGGCAAGTTCGCCGACTTGGCCGTAATTAAGTAATCCTGTATCTAATGAAATCAATTCTGCTTTTTCGTCCAAGTCAGTTCTATTTTGTTCTTTGCGGTGCGCATTTCCTTTGATTTTAACGGCCCACGAAAGTACTTCTTGTTCTTGGAACTCCTCTAGGTCATCTTCTGTGACCTCTATTGCACCTTGTTCAGGAACATAATTCAAAAATACTCCTTTGATTATGTGCACTTGGAGCAGCCATACATATATTAAGAAATACGCTTGGTTACGAGTTGGAAGATACTGACATTGTAGAAAACATGTCGATTTTAATACTGATGTCATTTTGGCAACCCTTAGTCAGCTGGCTGCCAGACCTCAACAGGACAGCACCCTCACAGGGCAGTTTGATTAAGCCCCAGCAAAGTAGACCAACGTCAGTGTGTATGGATTACAAGATGGAGGTCACATCCCGCTTCACATTAACACAACATTTTGTTAATCCTAAAAGCAAAAAAAAAATAATAAAATTATTAAAATCTATGAATGAAATAATTAAAAAGTATTCATGGTCTATAAAGTATAAGCCCTGTCTAGATTATCAAATATTATTTGACAAAACATGTGACATGCCTAAATATGGTCATGATGACATCACATCATGACCATATATAGACATATCATGACCATATAGACACATCATGACTATATATGGGTGATTAAGATGCATAAAAAAAATTCCTACTACCCTAAAACCCTATCTTGAAAATTGTTTTCCACTGACAATTTTACAAGGTGCAAAGAATACAAGAATACAGTACAGTCCAGCAATAAATAAAAGATTAAACAAGATTAGTAAAATATAAATAATACTGTAGACAATATCTATGATACAAAACATACTGATAAAAACATTCAAATAGACTAAAACTGTACTTAAATTATTGTCCATTCAAATTCCATCCATCCAACACGTTGTTTACTTGTATGCATATGTCTATCCAAGATTGTTTACTAAATTTCAATCATGTTGGATTAACAGTACTTATTCAGCTATGGGTAAACAATGGATGCAAATGTTTACTGTTCCTACAGAAGGTACTGTATGGAACTATTATATGTCTCTAGGGTACGGCTCTCAGGAACTTGGCAAAAGAGAATTAATGCCAGTATTTTACCAATATAATCTGCGGTTGTACACAACAATACAAGAGGGACCTCAATGGCTCATGTGGTGGAAGTTCATAATTTTCAACAATGCAAAGATTATTTTGGGGATAACAAATTGGTCATTAAAAAAAGTGAACGATTTATTTGATAAAGTTGCTCATCATAGCATAAAAGCTTACTCTAAATCGAAGGATAATGATGAAATTTGTACAATTTGTAGACGTAATACATTCCATAAACAGAATCTGTCTTTTCCCCCAGATACATTCTCTAATGAAATTTAAAACGACCTCTGTAAAATTAAATTACCTTACAGCATACAGACTCAACAGAAATGTTTTGATTGACTACTAAATTCAGTCAGGTTACTACTACTAGCAATCATCAATTTTTCATCATTTGGCGCAGTGAGAAGGGTTTGGTTTCCCAACATTCAGGTCGGGCTTTCACTTGTGTCCTTGGGCATGGCACTTTATCTGCATTGCTTCTATCCACCCAGGAGTATAAATGGGTACCTGGTAGGGTTAAATGCCAAAATGCGCTGATGTAGCTGCTGCAATGTTATGGAATTTGAGAGATTGTGTTCCATAGGCATTTAATCCAATGACCGGGGATAATGATGTGAAGCCCTTAAGAGGCCTTGTTGGCGTTAAGCGCTATATAAGTCTAACATGTTAACATATTAAATGCGAGGGATAGGGGTTAACACAGTACTCGTTATAAGAATGAACATAAATGATGATCTCACAATGACACCATTATATTATGTAATAATGTACTGTAATGGGAAGAAGAGAGGGATCACAGAAAAGAGTATGCTTTGTACTCTTCTAAAAATGATGAAAATTTTGAACGACTCTCCAATGTACCTACATAAAACATCTGAACAGATACATCGTTTTAATTGCAAAGGAAATATTTTCCAGTGAAAGCGAATAAACTTACAGTAATAACATTTTTTTTTTTAAAACAAGAAGTATCTCCCCACCATCTCAAATGTATGTTATTGTACAGGTAATGACGACAATTGGAAAAAAACTGCGCTTGTCGAGGCTTTGTACTGTACCTAGGATCTCAATTAGGCTGCTCTACGACAGTTTTAATTAAGCCTATTTTAACTTAATTATTCACATGTCTAATACTGCCATATATGCTAAGATTGTAGACCTACTATCTATTTTGCATTCTTATTATAGGCCTACTGTAGTCAAACAACGAAAGTCAGATCAGAGTTCAAATTTATATTAAATAAAAAAGTTCTTCAGCAACAGCTATAGTAGACTGTTGAACCGTTGAATCTGTGCACACTTTTGTATGATTCAACAACTGCATTGTATCATGGATGAATAGAATATTTCATTTCTCAATGATGGTACTTATTAAGGCTCATGATTTAATGTTGTTTTGCATCAGGAAATTTAATAGCAGTGAATGCTTTGCCCTCCCTGACTCCAGGCTAGTTATCTGAAGGTTGCGGGCTTGATTCCCATCCTAATCACTTGCAAGATTTTATTTTGCAAATATTTAGGAACATACTGAGGATTTAGATATTTAGTTCAATAAAAACAAAACACCACTCCCTCTAAATTTCCTGATGCAAAAACAACATCAAAATACCATTACAGTTTCCCCTGCTTCTTAGGGATAAGATTCAAAACTAGCCACTAAGCACAAATTTGGTGGTCTAATAATCAGGACACCAAGCTGATTACCTGGAGGTTGTGGGTTCGATTTCAATCCAAATCACTAGCAAGATTTTTTTTTTTTTAAAGTATTTGGGAATGTACTGAGTATTCAGGTCAAGTAGGGCAAAACATCAGTCCTAAGGATCATGTTGTATCTAAAGTTTATTAATCATTATTTAAATGTTTATTGATATATATTCCTTGTTTATCTTTGTGTAAACCAGCTAATGATAGTGTATAGTAGAATAACTATTTGGTTATTATAGGAAGTAATCATCCATATTTATTCATTGTTTACCTTTGTATAGACCAGCTAATGATAGTGTATTGTAGAATAACTATTTGGTTATTACAGAAAATAATCAGCCATTCACCAAAGTCATATCAAACAAAGAATATTATTATTATGTAGGATGCAACATAAACAAATAAGGATAGTTTATGGGACAAGACATATGACAGAACATCTTTGTAACCCTATTTTTTAAATGTCAGTTTGGATTTATTTCTAGAAGTGTGTGCAATATTGTGTACATGCTGAAGGAGGTAACTATAAGTTACCTAGCAAAGTAGCAATATACTGTATTTAAAAACAATAATATAAATAGCCACAATTAAAGTGGGAATGTGTCAATCTCAGAGAGCAGCTCAGGTGAAATTTCTATAGGCGTCAAAGAGCAGACATGTAGCATTTTATCACATTATAAGGCCTAATACAAAAAAAAATTATTTTATCACCCTTGCATGCATGTCTTCTTTTCTATGGTATTAAAAAAAATGTGGGGAAAATTTGGGGGGAAAAATCTTTAAATTTCATTTTTTTAAAATTTTGTTAGTAAATTTAGCAAATACTGTTTGTATTATATCAATCATGTATTTTACTTTAAATAACAATGCACCAGCAAGCAACCCAATGGTATATTTGGCTTTAGCAAAATAAAAAATAAAAATAAAAAGCCTCCATCCCTCATCACTTTTCCAGCCTAAATAGGGTGATAAACTAACTTTTCTTTTTATTGGGCCTAATTCAAAATACATTACATTGTCAATTAGAACATAGTAGCAAACAGTATTTATGCAAAGTATATAAAATTACTACATTAATGGCTGTTGTAAAAATATATTACAGGTACAGTAGTACTACATTAATAGCTGTTGTTTGATATCTCTTCCATCTTGTAATTATTGTACTGAACTGCATTTTGTCAGTGTTGTTACTTTTTTTACTCTTAATCGATGCAACTTCTGAATTTCCATTTTTTAGAGCAATAAATTTGATCTTAGCTTATGCTATTATAGTTACTTATCTGTAAACATTGTCAATTAACTAAACATGTTCAGCAGGAGTGAATATTATTGTTACATTCAATCAGGTCTCATAGAGCTTAGTAAAGTAGGGCTATACAACTAATCTATCAGGACATAGATATATGAAGTACTGAGGAGAGCATAATATACTAACCACAAAGCCCTTCCATATTTGAGTAGCAAGCTGTCTCTTGGTTCATGATTACCTAATTGTTCACAAAATATTTACAAAGCATTCATTAGCAAGGAGCTACTTAAACTTATCAGATGCTCCAGATCAACCAATCTGGAGGCATGTCCGCTTGGCCAGATGGCTTCATCACAACAGAGGCTAACAAGTCTGTTGCAGTGTTCTCTCAATTGAAACACTTTTAACTGGTAAATTTCTCCATAAAAATTCAGCTATGCACGCAGTGTAAGGCATTATCTCTTTTGATAAAAAACAACACGCATAGTCATAGCCTAGGTACAGACTAAAATTATGTTCATTTATTGAAAGCAGGCCAGCCTAAACTACCTACAGTAGGCCTAATCTGTGGTTTTTATTATTTTACAATTTCAAAATTTTTACTGGTTGGCCAGTTATATTTACTGGTAAAATTGACAGCTAAAACGGCTTCGCAAGAACACTGTGTTGATGGTAGTGGTTATACTTCAGTTAGCACAAAATTCTGGCTTAAAAAATTGTCTGTATAATTTACAATTACCGGTACATGAGACACTGCAAAACAACACAACTGACCTAATGAATCACAAAAGTATAGTCATTAAAAGAAACACTACATGAATTATGATAAGGCCTGATAAAATTAAAGCGAATTTATGCTACTACTGTATTTCTATGGAAAATAAAAATAGATCTAAGAGATTATTGCCAAACCCTAAGAAGAGTTGGAAACATAATACTTTATACTTTCTTTCTTTATTGTATATGCAAAAAACAAACAAATGGTATACAATAGGAGCCAAGAAATAGAAAAGTCTAATCGAGCTTGGCCCCTTTCTTAACTCCCCCAGCCCCAATAAATAAAATAGAATAAAATAAATATATATAAAATAATGAAAATAAATAAATAAATATGCATCAATCTTCATACTCGGAATAAAGTAATTTTTTCAGTTTTGAAACAAATACATTCCTCGAGGTAGTCTCTCTTAACTTTAACAGGTATTGTATTCCAGAGTTTAGCACCCATATACGAAATTCTAAATTTACCTAAATTAGTTCGGCATTTTGATATGGCTAAATTATATACGTAATTAAACCTTGTTGCATAACTATGACAAGTATTTTCAAAATAATCAGATAAACTATGTGGTAATCTGTTATTAAATAAGTCT